AGACATTGCTGCATACTGCTTTAGAAAGCAGCAAGAGAGACAGGATGTATATTCAAAGAGAAAGAGAGAGAGTATTTTGAGGAAGATTAATGGCAAAAGATCTTCTACTGGGATAAATATTTACAATTTAACTGTTTGCTGTATATTGTAATCATATCTCTTACAATGCTAAGAAGCCAGACTCAGAGGCTACCAACATATGATTCCATTTACATTCCAGTCTGAAAGAGACACACCATAGGGACAGAAAACAAATCTGTGGTTTCAATGAGCTGAGAGTCAGGGAAAGGGATTAACCACAAAGAATACTTGAGGAAACTGGGTGTGCTAGAATCCTTTTATACCTTGATTGCGGTAGTGTTATTGTGGTTCTGGGTGCTATGAATTCTTTCCAGAGTCCCTTTCCAAGATCTTATTGCCCCAAAGAATTGGACAGGAAATAAACTTGCAGAGTTTTACGTTTATTAAAGGCATTAAAGGTAGAAAATGAAAGAAGTTGTGGGCCAATTAAAGTGGGAAAAGAAATAGAAAGAAGTACACTCTGTAGAGGGCAGAGTAGGCCAGTGAAAAGGTTCTCAGTGGTCATGAGCCTAATGGCTGCCATCTTTTACACCCATCCTATCGAAAACCAGTCTGATCTTGTGCCAGAAGAAAGGTAGAGTTCTCTGATTAGTGTCAGGGGCAGGGTGTGGAAGTTGTTCCAGGCATGTGTCCTGGCCTTGATTGATGGGACACTCCCACTTGCTCAGCCAGTTTGCCACACCCTAATCTCTTGCCTCTCTAGTGGTTACATCATGATAGCATCTGTCAAAAAGGTGCATTTTAAGTGGTGCGTCTTATCAAATATGAATTGCGCTGGAATGAACTCTCTTGGAAAAACAAAATCTCATTGTGCTTCTTGCATTGCGTGGAGCCCTGCAGCTCCTCAGTGCCTCTTGGCCTTGCAGCCTTCGTCCACTGTATTTTCTGGGACATGAAACTCCTTGCCAACACGTGCGACTAGAATTAGATGCCCACTACTGTAGGAAGCCTTGCATTTCCCTGAAAAACCTCTCCTTGCTGCAGTCCTTGTGTGCTGTTGAGCTGCTTGCCTATGTTAAACCATGATATCTATTAAATCAGGGACTACATCTTATCATATCATGCGTCCCTATCACCTACCTCTGTTCTAAGCATTGAGTAATCCATAACTTGGCTAAGACAAGGTGGCGCTATCTGGCACACGCACCAGCACATCAGAAATACGTGTTCTCAGAAACCTTCCCTCAAATCCCTAAAAAATGCAGGAAATGACCTGGGAACTACTTCCAAAATCCTCACACTACAGCACATGTGCTTGGCTGTGGAGCTCACAAAGCAGATGAACGTGACTTTCAATTTTTAAAAGGCTGACACCTAGAAGAAGATATTTTGAAGTGACAGAAGTAAGTTCCCTGGAAATCTATGCTCCGTAACACCTCATCCATTTTTATAGGTGCAATCAACAAGAACACTTGCTCTATTTGCTTTCTGTGCTTGACAATATCATTTCAGAGACTGATGAAAAATGTTTTCAGCGAGAGAATCGATACTTTTGATCTTGCTTGCTTTTGTGCCTGTGGAAATATTCTGGGGAAGATGGGAAGATGTATAGAAACTTTATGCCTCCTGATACTTCAGCTCTCAGAAATCTTTTTTTTTTTTTTTTCTTTTTTCCGATAAAATGTCACTATGTAGTCCAGGCTGGCCTTGAACTCAACAGTGATTCTTCCCCCTCAACCTCCTGAGTTCTGGGATTGCAGGCATGTGCCACCACACAGGGTCAGCTTTCAGAAATCTGTCCTTTCTAATCCAATGCTGCATCTATTTTGAAGAACGGGAAGATGAGAGTATGGGATAAGAGAGGAGAAATGGTAACTTGGAGGCACTTGCTGTAGAACTCTTGTACCTGAACAAATAAGAAGCCATCTGCCCACTTCTGCTTCACAATTGTATCTCTTTCCCTCCAATTCTAAGCCAAGGGGAATGACCTATTTTTCTCTTAATCTGTACAACTCTCAGAAAATTTTTTTCTTCTAGATCAAGGATGAACCTCTTTAATGAGGAGGGAGGACTCTACCATCCTGGATGACTAAGACCCATTAAAATGTTGTCCTCTTGGGCTGTCCCTAGAGGTGGGAGGGCCAGAAATGCCACTTTCTCTATTTCTTTCTTTTTGATTAATTAATTACTTTATTTATTCATTTGTTTTGTACAGGGCCTCCTTATGCAGCTCAGACTAGAAGTGATCCTCTTGTCTCAGCCTCTCCAATGCTAGGATTACAGGTGTGCTCTACCATGCGTAGTTCTGGGGCTGACAAGGCATGCAGTATTGGGGATCGAACCTGGGTCCTTGTGCTTGCCAGGCAAGCACTTAGACTGCTGAGTTATCTCCCCAGCCTCTCACTATTTATTTCTAACCTAAATTTATTTCCCTTTATAGTTTGGCTGAGTAGTGGAAATTTTCTATCATTTCAAGGTTTCTCCAACCCTTATTTATAGGGCTGCAACTGAGCTGAAAAGCTGCCACCACGTTTGGGGTGGGTATGGGAGACACGGAAACACCTCTCACTTCTAGTCTTCTCATTGCTCAGCCATGTGCCTTATCCTGTTCAGCTCTTGGTCCTTAACTCATGTCACCCAGGTTTTTGTCCTCCTAGAGCTCCAATTCCCTTGTCTGTTCTCCTTCCACCCAATTGCAGGCATCTCTTCCTCCTGCTGTCATGAAGAGACAGTTTTGTTCTTCCCATCCTTGTTCCAGGGTCTCCCAGGCTATCTCGCCCCATCTTCTGAGGAGCCTTTTACAGCACCTCTTTTGCCACTGGAGGCATGGGTTGAGTCTATGAGCTCTGGAACCACATGAAAGCGAAGCATCAGGGCCTTGGCTCCCTGGAGCTCAGCTTGGTGCCTTGAACTCTTCATTCAGTTGAACAGATATGGGTAGATTTTGTCCAAGTTTCCTGTTTAGGGAAGCCATGAAATTCTAGGTCTTCGGATGCCACACAAACACTATACTAGGTTGAATGACATATAGTTGTCAATTTTGTTGGCTAAAATTGGTTAAATAGTAGCAATTTTATACTAAATTGAATTAAATATAATAAATACAGAGTGGGACATCCTATCAAATTATGATTTATACATTTCTCTGCCTATCTATCAACTTTAAAAAAAGTTCTGTTGAATTTTTCTTGAAAACATTCCCCGCCCCCCGCTTGGTGACCTTTAGTTGTTTTTGCAAACTAATCAAGAAGGGTTTATGCTTGTATATTTAAAAGAAATTTCTTCTAAACCATTGAAACTCTTTCTCAGGAGATTGTTTGACAGGCTAGGAAATGTTTCCAATTTTTATTTGTTTATTTTTGGTACTGGGGATCAAACTCAGAACCTTGCACTTAGCAGGCAGGTGCTTATGCTGCTGAGCTATCTCCCCAGCTCCAAAATCTTAAAGTGTTGAAATAGAAGAGTTTTAGCAGCTAGTATATATGATTTTGGGGGAAAATCCACATATGTTGAGACTATCTCTTTTACAAATCTCTTCATAGCATACATTTCTTTGAAAAAAAATCATCCTTTCATTTTGCACTTAAATGCCTTTACCTTGAAAGGATAGGTAAGGCACTTATTGGTTATATATATATATATATATATATATATATATATATATATTATGTTAACATATATATGTTAAATACCAAAGCTAAGACAGTCTCTTGCCAAGAGACTGTCAAGAAAGGATAGGGCTGGTGAGATGGCTCAGTGGTCTAAAGCACCTACTTAGAATAAGCTTAGCAAAGCACAGGGACCATGGTTCAATCCCCCAGCACCACATGCCAGCCATCACTGCCCCCTGGTGGGCTGAGCTGGCCACACACACACACACACACACACACACACACACATAAATAAATAAAAAAATTAAAAAAAAAGAAAAGAAAGGATAGAAAATTTTAAATACCAGCATTTTTTGTAAAAAAAAGTATATAATTCATTTTTTGATCTGATATTTTCAGTTCATTATTGTGACATAGCCTACAGAACTTCATGTGCCACAAAAGACATTTTAAAGCCAGTCTTTTTCTTTTAACTAGGAAATACTATAAAAATTCTACTTGATTTTAAAGATCTTCCTTTAATTAATTTTCCAACATTGATATGCTGTAGTCTTTGGTTCACTTCTGGATGCCAGGGATTTGTTGTGAATGATATTCCGTGTAAGTGCATTTCTCAGCTAATATGCTCTTGGTAGCCTTACGTCAGAATTCCTTTTTAATCTCATAAGACCATGTATCTAATAAAAATCAATTGTTCCGATTATCTTTCCGTGTGCAACTTTATTGTAGGGACTCACCAAAAGTACTTCTTTGTGAATTTCATTATTGAAACCAATCTGGCAAATCTCATAAGCTAAAAACTTGTTAGAAACATCTGGACTTGATCTGCTTATAATCTCCCACGCTGAATGCTTGTTCAAGTCCTTATTTCTCTAGCAATTTTTCTGTGAGAACAGCAGTGGTGTTTGCGGACCAAGGGATGCATTTCAGTTTGTTACCATATTGTCTTCTGTTCATTCCTCTGTGTGTGTGTGTGTGTGTGTGTGTGTGTCCTGTTTTATATTACAAAACCACTGTTGATATAGAATATAAAAAGGGGGGCTCGAAAGAGAAAACAATGAATTAGCTCCACTGTCTACTGCAAGGGACATTTACAGATTCCAAAATAGACACATTGAACAACAACTTCCCAGAGAGGGAGGGGACATGCCAGGGCCTCAGTTGGTCAGGAGATCTGGCCTGGGGGTCCCTGGGCACAGGTGGAGAGGGATGCAGTGTGAAGCCAGGTGGCTATGGGACTCCTGGGGAGAGCACAAGCCCCCTGCCCTTGCACAGTATGGTGCACCCTTTCTGGAGGAAGTGCCTCTCCTTCCAGCTGTGGGGGCCTGACTCTGGTGCTGAGCTTGGCTAGTTGGCCTCCTTGGCACCTTCTTGGAGAGATCTTGAGGATGAGCAGCCCACTCTGGCCAGAGGGAGCCCCTCTGCCTTTGCGGATCCTCTCTGGGGTGCCCAGTACAGTGGGGCTCAGTCCTGCCTGGCCTGGGGCAGGGTGGGGTTCAGGTTCAATCTCAGAGTAGCCCTTTGCCTGCCTTTCTGGGAAGTTGTTGTTCATTCTTCTAGTTACTTTTACTATTGAAAAGAAAGATAAGTATAATTCCAGAGATAACTTTTGGTCCAGCTATATGTGACTTTTTTGGTGGTGGGGGTGTGAAGGAAATTTTGTGAAGCACTAGATAGAGACTTTAATGGAAAACTATTTCAATGCTTCTTGTTGTCTATGTTTTCCCCCAAAATGCTTTGTTAAACATGATGGTCTTATCCAACCATCCTGAATTAAACCCTATAGCACATGATTGAATGATTTCCCTGGATGTCAGGAAGACCTCAGGTGCAGAGCTATCTAATGCTATTGTAGATACATAGAGATGTTAGTCCATTACTGGATGGTTAATTAGGGCTTAATTTCCTGGAATTCCAATGGAAGAGGATTTAAGAAAAAAAAAATCCCTGTCAAACTCTTTACATTATGAAATTCCCACCCTTTTTTCAGTATCCCAGGGGATGTGATTGGTTACAGATCCACTGACTCCATGTCATTCCATATATTAACTACCAGAAGGTTAAGATTCTTTTCTGCATTTCCAATAAAAATAAATCCAGGTTTAAGCATTTAGTTAATTTTTTTCTGTACCCCAAATAAGTGCCTGTCCTTTCCACGTCACATTGAATATCAGTATAAAATATCGCTGTACTTTACCTTGTACAGTCATCACGCCAGTAAACTTCTGCATCAAGAACTGAGAAATTATGGCAGGGGGGATGATGATGAAGCCTAATTTATGTCATAGTAGAAGGTTGGACACACATGGGACGGCAAGGGTCTGAGGTAGATTGCTGTCTTCATTACACAGCATTATGGTGGCGGCGTCTGACTAATCATGAAGTGTGCATTCCACGTACCCATAGTTTCTTCATCCTGGGTTACAGAACAAAAGACACACAGGGAAGAACCCAACCAAACCCAGCTGGATCCCACAGAGCTGGGGCTTCCCTGAAGACCCATAAGTGCTGTTATAACAAAATGACGAACTTTCCCACACAGATGGATGAGTGTACTCATCCTTAAGTTCAGCCTCAAGGACCCCTGCACTCTCTTATTCTAAATTCTATGAAGAGTTATGAGCACAGAGAGACTCAGATGCCCACAGACATTCTCCCAGCAATGCTGCCCACAATCACCTGGCTATGCCTAGCTTGCCAAATATGTGGGTGTGAGGCAACCATTTAATTCTACAAGCCAGTCCTCAAAGACACCTTATTATTTTCTGTCATTTATGACTTTGGGGTGAAAAAAATAAGGTATCAGCCAGAAGCTGGGCAGGAGAATAGAATCACTATCAGGTTATGGAAACAAAAGTTTCCTGTAGGAGTTGAGACTGCATGAATGTGGAAGGATTGGGGAAGCCATAGTCTGAAGGATGCTACCAACGGGTGAGAGAAACAGTTACTCACAGCTCAGAGCTGTTAAGACTGGGCCCCACTGGGATGCCCAGGAAACTTCTGGGCCTGGCTGCCAATGTGTGAGATGTGTTCATTCATTCATCACATTTGGTAGAGATGCTGGAGTTGGCGAGCTGATTTCCTAAGAACTTTGAGCTCTGTTTTGCTTTTGTCTTCTCATCTATGTGCTAGGAAATAGTTCTAGGTCCTGGCTGAACTCCTGGTGGTGCCAAATAGACAACAACTTTCTCTTTCAGCCAATGAGTGTCTTATATTTTGGGTTCTGAATCAGTCAGTTATGCTGGGATAGTGGTGTGTAACAAAGAGAACAGTCAACTTTAGACCTCTGGGATTCCATGTGTCTCCTACCTCTGATAAAAAATAGACTCATTGAGGGTCTGTCTGGTTCTTGTAGACAGTGGGAGTTCCTATAGGTTTTCAGATGCTAAGAAGGCAAGGTTCCACAGAGTCCTCATGTCACCCCCCAGGACCATTCTGAGCCCTACACCTGTTTCTTTATTTGAATTCTGGGTTCCTTGGAGTGGGGCTGACTTTTACTCATTTTTGCTTCTTCAGTTAACGAGAATTTTTTACATGCTTTAGCATAGCATTTGGACACAGAAGGAATTCAGTAAGTTTTGAAAAAATTAGATTGTTTTAATCTGGAAACAAGAAACTGAGAAAGTATTTAACAAATTACATTAATCCAGTAAACACCATCCTTTTTTCCTGTCCTTCAGGTTATGTGCATTTTGCAACAGGAATTCTTGCCTTACTCATCAAAGCTGTTTCCTTGAGCAGCATGTATCTGGTTTGTCTCCTTGATTTTGGGCAGGGCTGTACTCCAACCAGATGGAAAATCATCTTTTATTCCTTATTTATTTATTTTGAAGATTCTTTTCACTCTTTCTCTTGAATGTGCTCTGGGAAATGGAAAGAAGAGAAGGGAGCTGGGCTCCATGCTCTGGTGGAGGGCAGCGCACCCTGGGGAAGCACGGAGTGTCCCTGTGATCTGATGACACATTTGCATTTAAGGGATGCCTCTGTGAGTTTGGTTACTGGAATATGCTTTTCCTCTCAACCCCCAGCTTCTAAAAATATAATCTTATTTCTTTCTCCTTTCAACTTGAAACGGACTCAGAATGCAGACATCTTATGCCATTTACACCCAGAAGGCTGTCAGCAGGGGCGCTGCCAGAGTATGTTTAATCTGGAGAAGGAAATAGAAGCACACACACCCAACAAACTGAAATGTCTCACATGGGGTCTGGCTCTGACTCCTCCCATGTGTGGTAGCTACTACCCAGAAACAGCCGTGAATTCCCATTGTCGTCAGAATCCCCTCAACCACAACAGTTGCTAATGGTTTCCTGCTCCATAGACTCTGGGCCCAGCCAAGCCACCAAATCATCACTGGCCTGGATGGCTGGGTCAGCTCTGTTTGCTGAGCCCCTGACTTGGGGCAGCTATCTCACAGCAAATTTGCAGGAGGAATAAAACAAAAGCACACAGGACCTCGCTGCGTATTGGCCTCTTCCCTCTTCAGGCTTTGCAGGGTCTCTAGAGCCTGGAATGGTCACTACCAGGTCCTGTTGGTCCCTGGGGCATTTTGGGACCCCAAAGTGACAGTGGTTATCAAGGCTTAGTCATCCCTATAAAACCCATCATGTGCATTGGGGCTTCTGCTTCAAGTATGAGGTAGAAGAAGTCACTGCCAACCTGGAGGGTTAGAGGCCTGCTGCCTGCCTCTGGAGTTGGGTCTATTGTGGAATCATCTTATATGATCTGCTGGGTGATCACAACAATTCCATTCTTAGGCATGAAGCAAATAGCAACACACATATTGTATGTGAGAGGCACATACCATAACTGGCTTAGTATTATCCTTCACAGTTGGCCTGCTGTAGTTTAAATCTTAAATGTCTCCCAAGGCCCATGCATTAAAGGCTTACTCCTGTGCCTGTGGCACTATTGGGAGGGAGGTGGTGGCATTTGAAGAACTGGACTTGGCTGGGATAAAATGAGACCATCAGGGCTGTGCCACCCAAGGAGCCATTGTGCCCAGGCCTCTCCTCCTCTCTCTTTGCTTCCAGGCTGCTGTGTGGCAAGTAGCTTCCCCACTGTGCACTCCCACTGTGATGCTCTGCCTCATCACAGGATCAAAAGTCATGGAGCCAACTAACCATGGACTGAATCCTCCAGAACTGTGATCCCCAACAAACCTTTCTTCTTTTTAAAGTTGATCAAGTCAGGAATTTTGCTACAGTAATGGAAAACTGACTCACAAATGCCCCAAACTGTTCATGTGAAGTAGAACTTATGAATCTAAGCACCACTAAGAGGTACTGTCTAAAGTCATGAGACCAAATGAACTGTAACTTCATACCTAAAGGAGTGAATCACACCAATGTAACCTGGAACTTAAGAAGACACGTGTGTGAAAATGTGTGTTTTTATGCCTGCTTCATTGTGTAGAGTTGGAAAACCAAAAAAGCATTTGCTTGCTGTGTTGGAAGGCAGGATAGGGGTGCTGGGGTGGGGAAACTTTGGGGCAGGCCCAGGTCATGGCTCTTTCTTGCTCCTTTTGTGTAAGTCCTTACTCATGTGTGCACATTCCCACTAAAGTGCTAGAGCTCAACATATGAAAAATGAAAATAGAAAGCCCCCTATGGCTGAGGTGATTTTTCTGCTTCTCTTTCCATACGCGGGCTGGTGGCCAACAGGGGAAGTGATGACAAGCACCCCCCGCGTATG